TTTTTTTTTTTTTTTTTTTTTTTTTTTTTTTTTTTTTTTTTTTTTTTTTTTTTTTTTTTTTTTTTTTTTTTCTTCTTCTTCTTCTTCCTCCTCTCATAAGCATCAAGCTCCATCTGCCAGCAATGTTGAAGCAATCCAGACAGATCAGGTACAAGAACAAAGCCAACTTCAGATAATAGTATATAAAGGACCTGATTCAGAACAATCACCAACTTCAGTTACTCAGTCTATCTCATCCTCTGCTAGTCCAAGTTTATCCGAATATAAACTGGTACCTAAGAAGGTCCATGAAGAATGTAAGCCAGAACCAAGCCAGAAAAATTCTTCCGACCGTAAAACTGTGTTCTCTGTTCCCAATGTTAGGACACCTGCTTCTGATGGTTACAATTGGAGGAAATATGGTCAGAAGCAAGTGAAGATTCCAAAGGGTTCACGGAGCTATTACAAGTGTACATATTCTGGATGCTGTGCTAAGAAGATTGAATGTTGTGATCACTCTGGCCTTGTAACAGAGGTTGTTTACAAGAGCCAACATAGCCATGATCCTCCTAGGAAGATTAGCAACCCCAAGGAAAGTATGCTTGTGCCTTATGTTGAGCCTGTGGTTAAAAAAATCATGGCTGAACATTCCGTAAGAATAATTAACGATTCAGATCCTCCTATGTCTTCAAAAGAACCGTTACGGGAAACAGCTTCAGTCGTTGAAAGAAAACGACAGTTCTCTAATGACTCTGACGGAAATGATGAATCTAAAATCAAGAATGAGAATGACAACGAATACGAAACAAAACAAAAGTAAGTCTGCATCTCGAATTGCTGAACTTTTTTTGTTTCTGTTTTTGTATGTAATGTTTAGCATGTATGAGCAAGATCTAGTGCTAATCTTTTGTTTCCTTACTGGTAATCAGAGTTAAGAAGAGCAGTGGGGGATATTCAGGCACTCCCCTAAAACCTGGAAAGAAGCCCAAGTTTGTGGTACATGCAGCGGGTGATGTGGGAATCTCAGGTGACGGATACAGATGGCGTAAGTATGGTCAGAAAATGGTGAAAGGAAATCCTCATCCTAGGTGCATGCCTTTTCATAATTTATGCTTTACGGCCATTATAACTTGCTTTATTTGATGGAAAACAACATTGTTCTTTGATTTAAACTATATAAGCTTTGGTTATTCCCGACTGTCCTGGACTATTCTGCTGATGCCAAAATAATTATGCACGCCGCTTTATAGTTCCTCAGGACATTACCCATATCTTCAAGTTAAGAACAGAAAGGGAACAAACATCTCCAATTAATTCATATATTCCTGGACTGTCTGATTTTGATTGTTGATGTTTCTTTTTAAAACTTTACAGGAACTACTACCGATGTACCTCTGCTGGGTGTCCAGTCCGTAAGCATATCGAATCAGCTGTAGAAAATCCAAGCGTAGTGATTATAACATACAAGGGAGTTCATGATCACGACATGCCAGTACCGAAGAAACGACACGGTCCACCTAGTGCGCCTCTTGTAGCTGCTGCAGCTCCTGCCTCCATGGGCAATATGCAACCAAAGAAAACAGACGCAGTTCAGAGCCAAATTTCTTCAACACAATGGTCTGTGGATGCTGAAGGAGAGTTGACTGGTGAGGCCTTGGATCTTGGAGGTGAGAAAGCAATGGAATCTGCCCGAACACTTTTGAGCATTGGATTTGAAATCAAGCCTTGCTGAACGTACGCCTTTCAAGGAATAACTGTGAGACTCTTTATGAACATGTAGCTGTCTCTATGTGAAATATTTGATTATTTTTCGAGCAATTTCCTTTTGTTTTTCCTTTTTTCATCCCTCTCTTTCTCTTAGTCATTTATGTAACAGTTGTGTAAATTTGGTTTTTATACACCTCCCTGATGTGGTAATGAGATGATTTGCACCGTTTTTGCTAACATCTCTTACAGGGTCAGCCTCAAATCCTTGGATTTTGAAGAGACTGTAATGTTTTGGATTTATGAGAAGATTAAGGGTCGAAATCAATTGTGAATCGTACCATATTAAGTATCTCGAATGATAATCATTTGTTCGTGGGTCGTTTTCAAAAACTATTAAAGAAATAGTTCTCAAAATTTGGTTAAAAATTTAAATATTTTCTTAAGATCGTAAGCGATATAATATAATCACTTTGTTGTTGGTAGATCGATCTCAAAACAAGAAGATAAAAGAAGAAAGAAAATAGTCACCTTGGCCTTTCAAGATTAGTCACGTGATCCGGGCATCGAGTTGTGGGCACTCACGTGCGTCGTCAAACCCCAGTGCCCTGCCCTCCCTTCGGACATGACCAAATTAAATTAGGATTTCTTTCCCTCTCCCTCTCTAATCTCAGCTACTTTTGATTCTTTACCCGTACCGGAAGGATCGAATGTACCGATAGGTTCTAGCTACTGCTGATCCTTTTTGGTTCTTAAAATCAGTAATCAACAAAAAGTAGGGATTTTCGAATTCTGGAAGAGAAAAATGAGTGTTACTTTGACTGTAATGACATTCAATCTCCACGATGATCAACCACCAGAGAGCTCAAATTCTTGGGAGAAGAGGAGGGACTTGTGTATCAGTGTCATCACTAGCTACTCTCCCGCGATTCTCTGCACTCAGCAAGGTAGCTCCCTTTTCCTTTACTCCTCTGCTACTCTACTTTATCGGATTTCATATTTGATCCTGTGAATGCCTTGTGGATCTTGATCATTGGTGCGATTTTGTTGCAATAATTGATCTGGGTCTTGTTTGAATCGAGTTTTCTTGGTGGGTTTTTGGTGCTTTATGATTTCATTCGAGTTTTGGGTTGTTTTGTTAGGAAGCTTCAATGGAGTAGTGTGGCCATTTTGGTGGAACTTTTTTTTGTGGACGAACTTCAATGATCTAGGAAGAAATTAATGAACTACCACCATTTGCTTCTCTGATTCCTTCATTTCTCTATTGGGTTCAGGTGTGAAATCTCAGTTGGACTTTCTTCAGCAGGGCTTGCCTGGTATGTTAGCTTGTTATTGTTCAGTTCATATTGGGTTAGAAGTTCTTTTTGTACGTTCTCTACGAATGTGGAGCTGAAATTTTTAACATCTTTGAGGGGAAGATCATAAAGCAAGTTCTTATAACTTAGAAGTATTAATTTTCTTTCAGGCTATGGCCAATTCGGGGTTTCAAGAAAAGGATCCAGAGACACATCAGATGAACACTGCACAATCTTCTACGACAAGGAGAAGGTATTGAATTTTGGTTCAAGTCTGATAATCTAGTGTGGTTTTTTATGCTTCACTGTTTGTTTCTTCGATTAAAAAGGTTGAGCTGTTAGAAGGAGGCACATTTTGGTTATCAGAATCACCTTCTGTCCCGGGAAGCATGTTGTGGGGTTCGATCGTTCCGCATATTGCAACGTGGGCGATATCCTTGAGATTTCATTATATTTTAACGTATCCATTAGACTTTGTGTTATTTGTTAACTTGACAGACTGCCCACACATTCGAACTGAAAGGAATCGAGCCTCCTGGGTTCTCATTTCAGATAGTGAATACGAGCATGGATGAGCTCAACCCTCGTGCTCGTAGACGAAGCGCTTTACTTACATGGCAGCACATTGCATCCTTACCTCCTAGCTTGCCAGTTATATACTGTGGAGGTTTCAACACAGAAAAGGAATCAACTACTGGTCGTTTTCTTCTTGGGAGATCCAGGTAACTGAAACAGCTTTTTCTGTCTTAATCAGCGTTATTAGCTCGCATAGTTCATTTATCTTAACAGATCTTGTCGTCCATGGTGGCAGAGAAAAAGGTGCAGTTGGGGACATGAGAGATACATGGGCGATTGCTCGGGCGAGGAAGAATGTTTCTCTGATTCGAACATATCATGGCTTCAAAGGTATGCAATTTAGCTAAGACAAACTTGCTTAGGTGCTCGTTCGACCTTTGCTCGACTCCTTGAGACTCTTTTTTCAGGTGACAAACAGGGAGCTTTTGAATTTTTCAAGTTGATTCTAAGAGCACTCTGCCTTTGCTGGGATCGCCAGACCCAAGATCTACATGTAGATTGGATTCTTTTCAGAGGTAGATCTTTGATCCCTGTCGTGTGTGAAGTGGTAAACGATAATATCGACGGATTTTACCCGTCGTCTCACTACCCTTTGTTTTCCGAATTCATGCTTCCTCGTACCGTCAGAATGCTCGAAACAACAACTACTCAAGAGTGACACTAAATCACCATTTGTTATAACTCAGAATTCTCCATTGTTCTCTGTTTAAGCTCCAAATGATGTGTTTGTTGATGTAGAAGTTCATGTTTATAGCAGCAAGTTTTCTCTACTGGTTTACACTGTATGATAACCTTCAAATGACCACTTCAATTACTTCCAAAATGGTCATTGGTATTAGTTTGCTTATGAGAGAGTTCAAAGTTGATCCATTCTTGATTTTCTCTTTGCTGAATCTGATGGAAAGACAGTTGGGCTTCTTTATCAACCAGTATCTATTCATAAGAACAATTAGCTTAGCACAAGTTTCACAATAATAAGGTCACAATAATAAGGTCAGTAGATAAGGGGAATTTCATTTCTTTTTCCGTGGGGAAACCTCTCCCTAACAGGCTCGTTTTAGAATCGTGAGATTGATGACGTTACGTATCGGATTAAAACGGACAATATATGTTAATAGATTTAGGGTGTTACAAAGCAGACAATATATATTAGTGGACTGGGAAGTTACAAAAAGATTAGACGATTAAATCTTACATCTATTAATGATTGTAAGTTCTGTACTCGTGTCCGTGCGCAACATTAATCTTCATAGAACAATCTATGGACGATGTTTAAAATAGCTATCTCTTACGGTAATGTATTTTTTCTTTCTTGAGTACTTAGGAAACAAGAGATGTAGCTATTTATGCTTGAAATGGTAATTACAAAGCAAGAGATGGAGCTATTTATGCCTGAAATGGTAATTGATGTTTTATAGTTTAATTATCCTCCAATTAAATTTATTGTTTAATTTTGCAATAAAAAAAGAAAAAGAAAGAATAAAGCATCTAATTTGTTGATGTTGGAAATAATTTAGAAAATTTGAGTGAATGTGCGCCTAACAGAAAATGAATCAGAACCCATTTGTTGGTGTTGCGATCTAGGCCGCACATCGTGGCTACAAAATAATATCCAACGGTTCTCAATGGGCAATGGGGGCACCGTCTTCTATAACTCACTCGGCATCGGCGAGGAACAGTAATTCTTCTTCTTTCTAATTTTCTTCTTTCTAATTCTTCTCGCGGTAACGAAGAGAGGAGCGAAATCTAGCGATTGACACTCTCTGAAAGAGGGGAAGAGATTTTTGAAGCAGGTTTTGGATCTGGGTTGGGTTTAGATCCCTTGTTCAAGCCATGGCGAGAGGGCCTCTCGTGTTGCTTCTTTGGATCTCCGCATGTCTGTTCCTTTCTTTTCGTGCTTCCTGTTTCTATCTCCCTGGTGTCGCTCCCCAGGACTTTCATAAGGTTTGTTGAGTTCGCATCTGATTTCGATTGATTTTGTTTCTTTTCTTGTTCTTCATGTTCGCTATCGATTTTCGTTCTTGGGTTTTCAGATCTTGCGTTTGTGTGTGATTATTGGGCGTTGATGCTTTTCTTGATGTCAGGGTGGTTGATAAATTTGGAATTTCATTACCTTTTGGTTTCTTACTTTGCGTATTTGATTTCTCCCATGGTAATGCGTGTCGGTTGTGGAATTTTTTTGTGTCTGAAGATTTCGGATTTGGGAATTTAATGGGGTTGGTATTAACCGAATCTGCTTGATCTTTCGAACTGGAAATGATGTTTCAGGGACTAACAAACGAGTTCGAAATTATCAAATTATAGAGAGCATTAAATGTGTGTTTCCATTTCAGTATTGCGCTGAATCTCCGTTCCTTGTACGGATATGGGAATTCCGAGCATTTCCATGGTTTTCTGTTGAAATGCAGCTTAAGTGTTTTTTCTTTGCCTTATTGGTGCAGGGAGATCCTCTGAGGGTAAAAGTAAACAAATTGACTTCCATTAAAACTCAGCTTCCGTACTCTTATTATTCCCTCCCTTATTGTACTCCAAAGCAAATATTTGACAGCGCTGAGAATCTTGGTGAGGTTCTTCGTGGTGATCGAATAGAAAACTCGCCCTTCGAGGTATACTGTAGGTTTTAGACAAGAATGCTTTCAGCAACCTCCTCCGTCCTCTTTTTTCATTTTTTGTTATTTGATTCGCTCAATGATTATTTGTTTTTCATAGTTTAAAATGAGGGAACCAGAGATGTGTACTATTCTGTGTCGCAAAGTTCTTGATGCTAAAATGGCTAAGGACTTCAAGGAAAAGATTGATGATGAGTATCGGGTGAACATGTAAGACATCCTTTTCAAGGACTGTACATCTTGATTTTGATATTAATTTATGGATTGTTTTGGTAACTGCTCTCATCTTAAATGCAGGATTCTGGACAACCTTCCTCTTGTTTTTCCCATACAAAGGAATGATCAAGAATCTTCATTTGTATACCAACATGGTTTTCATGTTGGTCTCAGAGGACAGTATGCTGGGGTATATGTTGATATGTTTAGAATGTGAATAATTTGTCATCGTGATGCGTGTAATCTAGATACGTGAATTTATATATATGTTTTATTTCTGCAGAACAAAGAGGAAAAGCATTTTATCTATAACCACTTGACCTTTACGGTCAAGATTCATAAGGATCCTGAAACTGAGTTATCAAGGATAGTGGGATTTGAGGTCAAACCATTCAGGTTCTTGTACTGCTTTGCTTGCCTTAAGTAGCATTTTTCTAGTCCTCCACTCTTAAGATTGAAATTGCGCAGTTATTTAATTTGGTTGAAATATTTTATGATCTAGTGTGAAGCATGCGTATGAAGGTTCTTGGACTGAGACTACCCGTTTGACAACCTGTGACCCACATGCAAAACGCCTTGTTACCAACTCTGAGACTCCTCAAGAAGTTGAGGAGAAGAATGAAATCATCTTTACTTATGATGTGGAGTATCTGGTCAGTTGCCATATACCTTCCATACAGACAAATTTTTGTCATCTTTATTGTCAAGTGCTTGCCCCCCCCCCCCCCCCCCCCCCCCCC